TAATTCCTCTTTGTGCGCCCAAAAACAATTTGTGAAGTTCGTATGTCGATTGTGAAAAGTTCAGTAGCTTCGGTGGGATTCGAACCCACGCATGGACACTGACTGCGCTTTGTACGCGCATGCTCTACCAGTTGAGCTACGAGGCCACACCAATAGCACTGATCTTTTCACATTCGAATTGCCCATCCAACTTGCACAGTCATATGGCATCCACCAAATAGCATGTAACCTGACTGACCAACAGGTTTTCCTCAGAATTCACCGGAGACCACCGAATGAGCTTCTAAGACAAGATCAGTGCTATCGGTATGACCTCGTAGCTCAGCTGGTAGAGCATGCGCGTACAAAGCGTAGTCGGTATCCATGCATGAGTTCGAATCCCACCGAGGCTACTGAACTTTTCATAATCGACATACAAACTTCAAATATGCCAACAACAATTTAAACAATTGGTAAAGTCACCCAACCTGCCATGGCCCTCCACCTTCCATCCTCATCCCCCTCCCCCTTTCAATCCCACCCCGAATTACACGAGTAACACGAACCAAGCGAAAGTTCCGATGGTAGGATCGACGACAGGATCCGGTTTTGTGAAATTGAGACAGAAAACAACAACTTCCCCTGTTTGAATAACCACTGATTTTGTTTCCTCTTGTGATGTGATATAAAATGTAACGTATTAGCCAGCTGATGAGTCGCCGGAAAAGAAACGTGTTCGCTAAACTGCATTTTTCATTCAATGTGTGTTGCTGGTATATTCCGAGAAGTGAAAGTTATCTGTTTGGTTTCAAGCGTGCAAAGGTTCCTACCGGCTCAGCAAGCGTTCTTATATAGAAACCTTGACACAAATGGGGCCTATCTGTCCAGCTCTATTTATCTCGTTCAAAGTCGAAAATTAGCCAACTGACAGCTTTTGCTGTGTATTGAACGAAATAGGACAAGCGATACCGTCAATCGTTAGAAAAATCCGAGTACAGCGTGCGAACCTAAGTGAAACGCGCATTCGAATAAAAAGGAATGCAAGACGTGAGAAAAACTGTTATAATTGCGGGGAAAATAGTGAAATGCGTTAGAAACCATATGCTGAGGAACAGATGAGAATCAATAACAAGGTAATAGATTACAGTTCGAGCAATACATACATACAATGCCAAATTTTAGTAACGCATGTAATGATTCATTGCGCGTCCGGAAAATCCAACCGATTGGTTTGATCTGGACGCGCTGGGAAATGAGACTGGGCGTTGCGAATGAGAAGGGACAAATGTGCGCGGAGCGTTGCGTTGGTGATGGTGCTGTCGTGGCTGTTCATCTGGGAAGTCTGCTAATGGTTCCACAATGAGCTCATCATCTTCGACATCCTCATCGTCGTCATCGGGAATGTCATCTTCGCGATATCTTGAAAGGCCATGTCTGTAGTGCTCCGCCTCATAGGATGACGAACCCACAGAGTCGTCCGATGCATAGCCGGAATGTTGGGCTTCGCGCAACATATCTGCCGCTTCGAGTTCCTCTATATCCGGGATGTGGGAATCAGAATACTCGTCCTCATAGTCATCATCATCAGCGGAATTCGCTCCACGGCTCTCGGTCAGATCATCGCGTCTCAGACCCAGATGACGCTGCAAATGCGCGGACCCATGCTGGCCGGACCGGAATGAGGCGTGACCGGTCGAAGTTGAACCGGAAACAAGGGCGCGATGACGCATATAACTGGAACGAGGTAGAGCAGACATTAAATAACGACTGGGTTGGGTTGATGGGTTATGTTGTTGTCTTGGTACAGGTGAGTTTCGGGGTTCACCACGTTGTAATGAACGTTTCGCTTCGTTCATTTGACACCGTGCCTCGTGTAACTGAGCTGCAATGTGGAGAAGGAAATGACATGAATGAAAGTGAAAAAATTGGGACTTCAAGAAGTAGAGGGGGTGATCGAAATTAAAAGATCAGGATAAAACCCTAAAAGATGCATCAAGATCACCACTATATAAAATGTAAACTCCATGTACGCCACTCTTTAAGGAGCACGTTTTGTGAGTAAAACTATCGCGGGAATAGTGGTAGTATTCGCATCTCACTCAACGCCGCTTGTGAGTAATGGTCTGAGATAAATGTGACTGATTTGAACTGACCATCCTTCGAACTTCATCATCACGAACGATTCTTGGTTCATTCAGTCAACCGTATTTATCTGAAAATTATTGCTTTGAGCCTGGACCAAACAAACACAGGTTATTAACACAAACGGGCAGTTATTGATCGAACTCGTGCGATACTATAATATTCCTCAAAACCTTTTCATCTCATTACCTGAAATTTTGAGTTCCATGTGTGGGAGGATGTATATTATGGCCCGACAAAAGCCTCAATAGGGTCAGGGGCGTGTGTCTAGGGTTAGGGCTGATCATCCTTCCATCGCACTTCGCAAAATGCTCCCATACGACCAAGCGTCTCAAATAGCCTTTGCTGAGGAAGCCCTTCTCACTGCCTTCTCCCGGCGGAGTTGTTTTCCCACCAAGGTGATAGGACGAAAAGCCGACATCCAAGGGTAAAACCGGGTTGGTTGACCACTGGTGGTAGTTCACCTAGCGGAGTTGGCCAAAAAACCCAATTCCAAACCAATCATGACGCGTGCGAATCACACACACGACTTCCCGGTTATGGCAGTGGTCACCGGTTTGGTTGGGCATCGAGGTGTATTGGGCACCTTGGACGGTTGATTCCGTCCAACAGACGTTCACGGGCCCCCAGTGGATTGTGGTTTTGAAACACCGCCCGCTGCCGTGTGGTTCAGGCTATGGCTAGCTGAAGGTTCCGGTTGTGAATTCCTCAGAAAAATTCACCTGCCTTGGCCTAGGCAACCTAGCAGTATTCAGTCCATACGCAAATCATGGAACGGATTTCTTTTTCATAAAGATCATTGTGTCATGATTTGTCTGGCACACAGTCTGGATTGAGACGTGTGTGAAAATTAATTACAATTATCTCTGCTCTGTTCAATTCGGTATTGCCTTTCTCATTCCACTGCACTAACACTGATTGTGATTGTCGTACACTCACCCGTTCCTTTACACTTGGGGTTTGAAAAGCCGTGTTTCTCCCAATGGTTCCCAGAATACCCTGGTTACTATCTCCCAAAAACATCAGGCCTTCTCTCTCAATTTCATTTGGATTCCGTGGCTTTTATCTCCAGAAGTGCCTTTCTCCCGAATCATTTTCTCACATTTTTTCCCCAGTTTGCTTGCATTTCCTCGCCTGTATCTTTTGATAAGCGCAAGATGGGTTTCTTATTCCTACTTCAAACTTGGTTTCC